TTAGTTTTTTAATGGAGTCTTTTGGTTTTTTTTTAATGTACAATATCATGTCATCTGCAAATAAGGATAACTTTACTTCTTTTCCAATTTGGATGCCTTTTATTTCCTCCTCTTGTCTAATTGCAATGGTTAGTACTTCCAGTACTATGTCAAACAGGAGTGGCAAGAGTGGGCATCCCTGTCTTGTTCCTGTTCTTAAGAGGGAATGGTTTTAGTTTTTGCCCATTGAGTATAATGTTGGCTGTGGGTTTATCATATATAGCTTTTATTATGTTGAGGCATGATCCTTGTACTCCCACCTTGTTGAGAGTTTTTATCAGGAAAGGGTGTTGGATTTTATCAAATGCTTTTTCTGCATCAATTGATATGACTATATGATTTTTATCTTTCAATTTGTTTATGTGATGTATCACGTTTATTGACTTGCGGATATTGTACCATCCTTGCATTCCTGGAATAAATCCTATTTGGTCATGGTGTATGATCTTTGTGATGCTCTGCTGGAGCCTATTTGCTAGAATTTTGTTGAGGTTTTTGGCATCTATGTTCATAAGGGATATTGGCCTGTAATTCTTTCATTGAGTTGTCTTTATCTGGTTTTGGTATTAGGGTGATGCTAGCTTCATAGAAGGAGTTTGGAAGTGTTCCTTCCTCTTCAATTTTTTGGAATAGTCTGAGGAGGATAGATTTTAGTTCTTCCTTGAATGTTTGGTAAAACTCTCCTGTGAAGCCAACTGGCCCTGGGCTTTTGTTTGCTGGAAGCTTTTTGATGACTGTTTCAATTTCTTCCCAAGTCACTGGTCTATTGAGATTTTTAGATTCTTCCTGATTGAGTTTTGGAAGTTTGTATTTTTCTAGGAATATGTCCATTTCCTCCAGGTTGTTCAGTTTGTTGGAATAGAGTTGTTCGTAGTATTTTGTAACAATCCGTTGTATTTCAGTGGGTCTGTTGTTATTTCACCTCTTTCATTTCTGATTTTGTTTGAGTCCTCTCTCTTTGTTTCTTGGTTATCCTGGCTAGAGGTTCATCTATCTTGTTTATCCTTTCAAAGAACCAGCTTTTGGTTTTGTTGATCTTATGTATTGTTTCTTTGGTCTCTAGGTCGTTTATCTCCACTCTGATTTTTGTTATTTCCTTCCTTCTGCTTACACTGGGCTTTTCTTGTTGCTCTTTTTCTAACTCTTTGAGTTGTAGAGTTAGATAATTTGTTACCATTTTTTCTTGTTTTTTTGCAATAGGCTTGTAGGGATATGAACTTCCCTCTCAAAACTCCTTTTGCTGTGTCCCATAGATTTTGGATTGTTGTGTTTTCATTGTCATTTGTTTCCAGGATGTTTTTAATTTCTTCCTTGATTTCTCTGGTAACCCAGTCCTTGTTTAATAACATGCTGTTTAGTCTCCATGTGTTTAATTTCTTTGGGTTATCTTTATTGTAGTTAATTTCCAGTTTTATGCCACTATGATCTGAGAAGATGCTTGATATGATTTCTATCTTCTTGAAGAGACTTTGCCTATGTCCCAAAATGTGGTCTATCTTTGAGAATGTCCCATGTGCACTTGAGAAAAATGTATATTCTGTGGCTTTGGGGTGGAATGTTCTGAAGATGTCAATTAATTCCATCTGGTCTAGTGAATCATTTAGGATTGATATTTCTTTGCTGATTTTTTGTTTAGATGATTTATCAAAGGGTGACAGTGGGGTATTAAAATCTCCTACTATGATTGTATTGCTATTAATCTCTCTCTTAATGTCCTCCAGCAGTTTTTTAATGTATTTGGGTGCTCCCGTGTTGGGTGCATATATTTTTACAGGGTTATTTCTTCTTGTTGGATTGCTCCCTTTAGTATTATGAAGTGGCCTTCATTATCTCTTGTTATGTCCTCACTCTGAGATCTAATTTGTCAGATATAAGTATTGCTACTTCAGCTTTTTTTTCATTTCCATTTGCCTGGAAAACCTTTTTCCATCCCTTCACCCTCAGTCTGTGTGTGTCTTTTTTTCTGAGGTGGGTTTCTTGTAGACAACAGATGTATGAGTCTTGTTTTCTTATCCAATTTGTTACCCTATGTCTTTTGATTAGAGCATTTAATCCATTTACATTTAAGGTTATTATTGATAGGTACTCATTTGACGCCATTTTTTTTTAATAGTTTTCCACTGATTTAAAAAATATATATATTTTATTGATTTTTTACAGAGAGGAAGAGAGTGGGATAGAAATCTAGAAACATCAATGAGAGAGAGACATCGATCAGCTGCCTCTTGCACACCCTCTACTGGGGATATGCCTGCAACCAAGGTACATGCTCTTGACTGGAATCGAACCCGGGACCCTTCAGTCCTCAAGCCGACGCTCTATCCATTGAGCCAAACCAGTCTCGGCTTGACGCCATTTTTATCCTATACCCGTGTTCCTTCTTCGTTTCCTATTTCTTTATTTTTACAGTAGGCCCTTTAGCATTTCTTGCATTGCTGGTTTGGTGGAGATAAATTCCTTCAGTCTTTTTTTGACTGTGAAGCTCCTGATTTCCCCTTCAATTTTAATTGATAGCCTTGCTGGGTACAGTATTCTTGGATTCAGACCCTTCCTTTGCATGACTTTGTATATTTCATCCTATTCCCTTCTGGCCTGATAAGTTTCTGTTGAGAAATCAGTTGCTAGTCTGATGGGGGTTCCTTTGTATGTAACTTTCTGACTCTCTCTGGCTGCTTTTAAGATTCTTACTTTGTCATTGTTGTTTGCCAATTTAATTATAATGTGCCTTGGCGTCTGTCTTCTGGGATTCATTTTGCTTGGGACTCTGCGAGCATCTTGGATTTGTGTGGGTTTTTTCTTCTCTATCTCAGGAAAGTTTTCTGTCATTATTTCTTGAGTTACTTTTTCCATGTCTACCTCAGTTTCCTTTCCTTCTGGAACCCCTATTATTCGAATATTATTTTGTTTTGTATTGTCCCAAAGCTCCCGTAGGCTCTCCTCCTGCTTTAAAAAAATTTTTTTTTCTAGAAGCTGCTCTAATTGGGTATTTTTTTCCATCTTGTCTTCTAGCTCACTGATGCGGTCCTCTGCTTCCTCTAGTCTACTCTTGATGCTTTCTATTGGTAGCAATGTCATTTTTCATTTCTTCTTGGTTCTTCTTCAAGTCCTCTTGGTTCTTCTTCAATTCCTCATGGTTCTTCCTCATTTCTTCTTGGTTATTGTCAAATTTCTCTTCCATTCTTTTTAGCCATCCTATGATCATTACTCTGAATTCTTGCTCTGATAGGTTGCTTACCTTTAACTTGTTTACTTCCTTTTCTGGTGATGCCTGCTTTTCTTTCATGTGCAGGCTATTTCTTTGTCTCCCCATGGTCTCTCTTTTCAGAATGTCTGGTTATGTGGTGTTCCTTCTCCTTTCCGTGGGTGATCAAAGAACTCCCTTGAATCCACGTGTTTGCGCCGATTGGGGCGTCACAGCTGCTCGTTGGTCTCCTCTGCTGTGGGATTTTCCAGGCCTCAGAGAAGATCCTCCTTCCTGGTAAGATGGCACAGCCTTCCCTCTGTGCCCATAGCTCCGGGAGAGGTCTCTGCCGCCGCAGCGCTGGTTGCTTGGTCAGGAAATCCTGTCCTGCGGACCCTTCCTTACCTTCCTTTAGAGTTCTGCTAACCCATAGCTGGCAATCAATATTCCCTGAGCGACTTAGACGCTGCTTTTATCTGTTCTGGGACCAGGATCAGAACAAGTCTGTCTGTTTGGTTGCCATCTTGTCTCCTTCTAGCCCTGAAGCAATTTTTAATAATGTCCACTTTTACTCTCAAAAGTGTCGAGTTTCGATAATAACTTATATTGATCACCCTACCTACCAATGACAGATTACATTATTACTCTTCTTGAAATATGTCCTTAATTTGGTTTCCAGAATACCACGTTTTCCTACTATCACTCTGGGCGTTCCTCCTTTGCCGTTTTCTCCTCTCCTGCTCCATTAAATGTGGGTTTGCCCTAGGGCTCAGTCCTTGCTACTCTTCTCCTTCTACACTCACTCACTTCATAGACTGGACCTCTCTGCTGAATGCCCGACTCCCACAGTCCTCTGTGTTCTCTCTCAATATCTCCGGGTGGACATCTAGGTTTAAACTATGCTCATTTCAACTTGAGTTCCTAATACTCCCCCTAAAGCCTGTTCTTCTTGCAATCATTTCTCCCTCTTGGTAAGTGGCACCTTATTCCTCCAGATGCTCAGGCTGAATTCTGAGTGAGCCTACAGTCTTCTCTTTCTCTTACACCCACTTCTGAGATGTCAGCAGACCCGTCAGCTCTACCTTCAGAACATATCCTGGACGTGACCACATCTCACCCACTATCTCTACCACTTCCCCTGAGGTCCAAGTCACTGTCACCTTCCTCAGGGATCATTACAAAAGTCTCCTAGTGGAGTCCCTGCCTCACAGCAGTCTATTCTCATCAAAGCAGCCAGAGGGATGCTTGAACACCTGTTACTCCTCTGCTCAAAATCTTCCATCCTTATAATGAACTTCAATGTCCTCGTGCTTTAGACTTCTCTTAACTTTCTGATTTCATTTCTTACTATTTTTTTATTTTATTGATTTTTTTTGCAGAGAGAAAGAGAGAGGGATAGAGAGTTAAAAACATCGATGAGAGAGAATCATCAATCAGCTGCCTCCTGCACACTCCCCTACTGGGGATGTGCCCGCAACCAAGGTACATGCCCTTGACTGGAATCGAACCTGGGATCTTTCAGTCCCCAGGCCGACGCTCTATCTACTGAGCCAAACTAGTTTTGGCATTTCTTACTATTTTGTAGCAAAATAGGCTTCTTTTCTGTTTGTGGGTCCTACCTCAGAGCTTTTGCACTGGCTGTTTCTCCTGCCTGGAAGACTCTTCCCCTCCCGTCCCCCTCCATATCAGCCTGCTCCCTCCCTAACTTCCTTTAGGCTTTTATTTAAATGTCACCTTTCCCAGCCACCCTCCCCAACTTTCTATTCCCCATTCCTGCTTTATTTTTCTCTCTAGCACTCCCTACAGTCTCCTATACTATCTAATTTATTTATATATCTGGGCTTGGCTAGCTTCTCAGTTATGAGCTCCACAAAGGCAGGGAGGGATGTTTGTCTGTTTTGCTCACAGCTGTATTTCCAGCACACAGAGCAGCACCTGGCACCTAGCAAGCACTCAGTAAATATTTGTTTAATGAATGAATAAAAAACAGGGCTAATAATACCTATACTTCACAGATGAAATGAGATAAGCATGCAAAGTTCGTGGAGCACCACATTGCTCAATAACTGTCCATTCCCTACTTCCTCCCACTTTTGGTATCAGCCGTGCCCTCCTTCTCCCAGAGGGAGTGCCAGGTCAGAGGCAGGGTTGATGGTAGTGCCTGACTTACCAATAACTGCCAACAGCACCCCCAGGACTCCCTCAGCCCCGGGCCAGGATGGGTCCTGCTTTCAGACGCTGATTCCTCTGGTTAGAGGTGAGCCACCTTGCTTTAGCTCAGGAAGCTGAAGGCTCCAGAATGACGTGAAGCATTCAGAAGCACTGTCCTCAGAACAGATCTTTGTAGCAAGGGCCCAGGGACTGTTGTGCCTCCTGCCCCAGCCTCTTGCAGATACTCCACCGACACAGCTCCAGCTGCCCTCACCCACGGGCATGTGTTGTCTTGGTCTCACGGACTATGCCACAACACAGCCTGACTGCTTCCCTAGCCCCTCTCCAGGGCTCTCTACCAGGGTTCTGGGCCCTTCCACATTCAGCATACAACCTGACAAGGACTTGGCCACCTCATCACAGGGAAGCCAGAGAGGTCTACCCACCAGGCTACTGCTGTCTCCACATGCCACAAGGCTCCTGGGAACGAACCGTCCATGGGCAGCTGCTCTCCAGCAGCAATGGGTCTGGCCATGGCTGCTCCCCGTGGAGTGGCCTGAGTCCCGTCTCTACCCCAACGCCCAGCACCCTTCTCCTCACTTTAGGAACAGAAGCGGTTTCCTACAGATGAATCCTCTAGGAAGCACGGTTGATCTGGGGCGCAATTTCCGGTCTGGAGTTACTTCTTTCAGAATCCTTGTCCCTACACCTGGAGGACTAAGCCTGCTGGAGGAAACTCACACCCGTGCATGAGCTGGAGCCACTGCAGAGTCATGTCTCCCACGTGGCCTGCTCTGCTGCCTGGCAGTCTTTGGCCGCCCTGGAGAGCGGTCTTCTCCACTGCCCACAGTGGTCTTACAAACACGGCCACCCTTCTCAAGCTTCTCTCTCAGCACCCTGCTGTCAAATGGAAGAAGTGTCCTTCTGGAGATCCAAAGCCAACCCCTGCCCTCCCTGTTATATCATCTGTGCCAGCGTTCTTCTCTGTAGCTCCACTTTTCCTGGCCGGGTACAGGATCCTTCCCACTGGCCGTCCAGACACCCACTTTACCCTCATGGCCACACTCGCCGAGCTCCCAACCTGTCTTCCTTCTCCCTTCACAGGCACGCTCCCTGGGAGCAGTCCACACGCACCGATCCTCACCTGGTGATTCAGCTGGAGGTCAGCTGGCTTCCACCCCCACACCGCAGAGACACTGCTCTCACCAAGGCCGTCTCCACCTCTAGGTCCAAACTCTGAGGTCCCGTCTGCCTTGCCTCCTCACAGCCCTCTCAGCATATATCCTGACAGCAGACCCGACTAGCAAAGGCCGACTGTTCTCACCCTGCTTTAAGACCCTCTGGGGAAGCCCTATTCTGCTTTGTCCCAGGTCCCTGAGCGCTGACTCCCCCTCCCCAGGCATTTGTAAGCACTCTGGTTTTCAATAAATGTTTATGAATTGTCATCAGCTTACTCTTACCTACTGTTTCTCATTATACTGTCATCCTTTCAACTTCGCAAAAACCATTTGAAATGAGCATGATGGGTATTTTCCCTAATTTCCAGATGTAGAAACCGAGATTCAAAGAGTTGAAGTGATTTGTCCTAGGTGAGAGGGGAAAACCAGGTCTGAAACCTGAGATTTCTGATTTCAAAGTCGGTGGTGCTTATTTTAAGGAGGAAACTGTGCATGAAGCTCTCAGATACTACCGTTGAAGAGCGTTTAGAATACATCTTAGAGGTATGAGAAAGGAATAGCAATGGGGGCTAATCGCAGGATGGTTTGCAAGTTTGGTAGCTGGTGAACAGTTTTGCTCACGCCTACCAGGTCAGTTCTAGGCTTGTCTTGGTATCTGTTTTATGTATACTGTTTGGACAAGGATAGAATGGCTTAATCATCAAATCAACAGAGAGGAAAGAAACAGCTTATGTTGGAAATCAACGGATGATCCAAAGAGCTCTGAATAGGCAGCTACATGGGCAGGCCTGGTTTGGGCCCATAAATACTATCACAGTCTTGAGTGAGAAGGAGATGGGGACTGGACAACAGTGCGACAAGAACAGGTTTATGGCCAATGTGACATGACCACTAAAGCAGTGTCACCATGAGGAACATTAAAAATGGGAGGACAGCTTATCCTGATGCTTTCTGTGAGGCAGGCCCCCTCTCAGCAAGCATGAACTCCACTCCGGGAGCCTTCTGAAGGAACAGTAATAAAGTAATAAAGTAATAAAAGGCCTTCAAGAGCAGAGATGCCTGGCTAGGAGGACTTGAAGGCACATGATCACCAGCTTCCACTCTCTGAAATATGACAGAAGAGGGACTAGACTTTTCTGTGTCTCAGGCCAGTGGAACTAGGCCCACAGGTGCAAGCCACAGAAAGGCAGATTTGGGTGTTTCTTAGTTAAAACTCTCCAGTTACCGAGTATCTTGAAGTGAATGGGCTGCTCCGGTAAGTTAAGAGCCTCTGGCCGTTGGGCATGAGGGATGGACCAGGTACTCTGTGATCCTGAGACACGTGGATTCCAGACCCACCAAGCCCAGGAAAGGGGCAGGAACCGTCCCCCGCACTGGGCTGAAGCAAGTCCCAAAGCGGCAGCAGGTGCAGCTTCTCAGTGCTAGTGTGAGGGGACCGTACTGGCAGGGCTGCCTGCAGTTTAGACAACTTGTTTTCTTTCTTTAAAAGGAAACACTTTAAAAAGAGAGTGGTTGTGGGAGACTATTTCTATCTCGGGTGTCTATTCCAAAGTTCTGGTGTTTTGCCAGGATTTCAAGCATGCCATACACAACACGGTTAAAAATAACCCTTTGATTGAACAGAAGGCATGGGAGAGAGGGGATAGCCGGGCAATTTTGCTAGAGGGTGTGGGAGGCGGGTAAGGAGAGGAAACCTGTACCCAGAGACCCTGGGAAGGGTTTCATTCCTGAAGAGTCGTGTAGACTCAAAGGGACTAAGGACCAGGGAAACACTGTCCATATCCGCTTCTTTCCAGAGAACTGCCCAGTGACTGCCCAGTTTTGGGTGTGCCTCGGATCTGCACAAGCTGCCAGTTTTGAAGGATTCTCCCAGGACCGAGTCTGCCATTTTTCAGTCCTAATTGCCAGCCTATTGGACAAAGGTCAGGGAAAGACGACAAGGAGCAGAAGCCAAGAAAGTCATAAGCCACAGAAAGGTCAAAGGCACAGACCCCCGGAGCGAGTTCTACTAGATTTAGCTATTGGGAAATTTGTGTGTGAAGGCTTCCAGACATACATTTCCTTCTATAGCTAGACATTTCACTTAAGTGGAATTACATGTCCTGTTCCATAACTTGCTCTTGAAAAATTAGTAAAAAAAAATAAAATAATAAAACAAAATTGTGGGGACATGTCAGTAAATGTAGTCTGACATCATCATTTTTAATGACTACATATTATTTCACCGTGTGAACATGCAGCATTTACTTAATCATTCTCAACTAGGAGACACTGGTGTTGTTTCCAATTTTTTGCCATTATAAACATGCTGCAACAAGCATCATATTACAATAACTTGCGTGCTCAGATACGATGATTTCCTCATGTGAAATATTTAGAAGTGGAACTGTTGCATCAAATGGAATCCACATTTTATACTTTATTACATATTCCCTACCTTGCCTTCCATAACTTTGAAGAGAACAAAATACTGTTATCATGATTTCCTCCAATCTCTCTGGCCATTCTTTCCTATTCTCCTTCATTTTTTTTTCTCCCCTCCTATGAATCCCTTTTGAGTTGGTATTCCCTAGAGTTAGGTCCTCCTGCTTTCTTCTTCTCCCTCTAAAATGTATAACCTCAAATGCCTACAAGAGCCAAGAAGATACTATAAATATTAGTTGGACCAGATGTAAGACAACAAGAAGTGGAGGGTTATGACAAGCTATAATGGACTCGACCCCTAAAAAAGGATTTAGCTTATAAGCTGCCCGTTTGGGATCAAGTCTACACACCTACCCTCTCCTGCCTCACCCACTGCCACAGCTTCCCCTGCATGCTCACAGCTCCCACTGCCTGCCTCTAGCTCCGAGCGTTCTTCCTGGACTCGAGGCTCACACAAGCTCGTGATTGCTCCATCTCCCTCCTTCAGTGTTCTATCAGCATCTCAAATCATTACATTCACAACCAAATTCACAATCTCTGCCTTTGCTCTTTTCTGACAAAATCAGAAACAACTGCTCTTCTTTTTGGGTTCCCAATCTCAATGAACGGCATCCCTATTTTTTTTTTTTTTCTATCTTTAAAGCCAGAAACCTGGGAGTCATTCCAGATGCTTCCCTCTGCCCAGCCTTCTTCACCCAGTTAATCATCAAATCAGTTCAGTAGGCAAAATAGGTGCGAGGTTTGACCACCTAGGGATGACAGGCTCCTGTCCCGGGGGGTAGATGTGGTGGTGGAGGGGAGAATGCCACACAAGATGTTCTGGGGAGAACACTTTGGTTGCATTTCCTATGTGCTACCCAGTCTCTGTTCTCCATCCCTAAGGGACTGCCTTCAGCAGTTACTGTAACAGTCTCCGAACTGGCCTTCATGTTTCCAAGTTCCTTCCTCCAATTCATCTTCCATTATTAGGTTAGAGCAGACTCTCCAAAGAGCAAATCTGATCACGTCACTCTCTTGACTCTTGTCTGAAACATGTCAATAATTTCCCATCCTGTTGCCAAAATCCACATGGTCTCAGAGTTGTTTTCTGAAAATACTGGAATATACAAACATATGCTCGACCGAAAGTTAATAAAGGAATATTTTCATTTTTTTTTCCCCCAAATGATTTTCTTCAGACGACAGTAAAAATCCTTTTAGAGCGGCTTGTAAACGGGTCCCAGGCTTATCTCCCAGCATTCTGGGACGTGACACTGAGCCCCAAACATGGTGAAACGCTTGCAGTTCTCTGAGTATCCTGTGGCTCTCCTGCTCTTAGTTTATCCAGTCCCTCTGTCTAGAACACCCCTAACATCTTTCAACTGCCGAATTCCTATGAAATCTTTAAGACTTGATAAAATACCGCTTCCTTCAAAAATCCTCCTCTAACCACTTCGCCCAAAAAAGATGGCTTCTCAAGGCGTTCTCAGCTACACACGCTCCCAGTGCCGCGGGCGTACAGTTGGGAGGGAGAGGAACTTCCGGCATTTTGTCCAGGTTGCCGACGGGGGGACCATGACAATGCCCTTACCTGGATGTCTTGGCGAGCAGGCAGTGCTGGGAGAATACAGGGGTGTGGGGCAGATAGTGAGTGATTCCAGAAGAGGCCGGGAGACCAGGAAAAGGCATGGCTCTTTGGCTCTGGCTGGGTATGGCCTGGAGGGGCCCCTGAACGTTTCAGGTCCACAGACCACATATACTGAGTAACCACTGACATAATCTATCCCATCCATTGGTACTTGTAGCACCTACCCTGGCTAAACACAAAACCAAAACAGAAAAAGAAAAAAAAAAGTTTTCACCTGAATGATGGTGAGACATCACTTATCAATGAACCAATGGGAGAATCATCTCTGGCTTGTCAATGCCAGAAGCAAATATTTACAAGGAAAGATCAAGAGGTACCGTCAATAATGACAGAGAAGGAATCCTCCTTAGAAAAGTCCTCCTTAGAAAAGCAAAAGCTTCCTCTGATCCCCTCAGTTTAATTTGGTGCCTTCTCTCTGTGTACTCACAGCATCCTGTACTTTCAGCTGCCGTGACATCAACAGTCTGTGACAATTTTGTGTTTGTGTCTGACACCCCTTCCAGATGGAAGTTCTAGGGTAAAATGATGTACAACTCTGCATCCTTAGTAACTAGCATGGTACTGCTATGGAAATGCTTATAAGATAAATGATAGGGGAAGGAATGGGAAGGAAGTTTAGGCAAATACATTTCAAGTTGAGATGTCTGGTGATAAAGAGGGATAGATACAACAAGCCAGGGCAGTATCGAGAAAACATTTCTTTCGCTATGCCAGCCAGCGACATGAGGAAATTGTCAGGGAACTTCATAATGACTTATTTACATGAGTATTATTTAGAGCAGTGTTGTTTATGACAGAAAGAAATTGGGAAACAAAATTAAAAGGACACGGGTGCTCACCTCTCTACGGGATGCTCACCTCTCTACGGGATGCTCCACAGAACTTCAAGGTCAGCATTTCCACAAATGAACTCAACAGCTGCCCCCAAACTTGCCGGCCCCTTTGTTCTCTAGGTTAGGAGGTGGTGCAGCCATCTATCTACCCAACGGTGTGAGACAGAACCTGGGGATCTGTTTGTAGCCCTCCCTCTCACTCATCCCTACACCAGCCACCCAATGTCCTTTCTCCTTCCCCAACATCTCTCCACGCCCCTCATGCCGGTTCACTGCCTCCCAGCAGCCCCCTCCCCAGTGCCACCTCCTCTAACCCTCTCTCCTCCACTTCAGGTAATGACCTTAATTAAATTTCTAAAGCTTTGACCTCATAACAAAGAGTTTTTATAAAATAGTC